ACTGGGGGGGCCCCGCCCCCCATCGGGGTCGGTACCGGGGTCCTGTCGTGGGTGCCCCCACCCCACGTGGGTGGCAGCACCCCAGGGACACCCAGGAGGGATGTCCCCCTCCGTGGGACGTGTCACCACCCTGGGGACACCTAGGAGGGGTGTCACCGTGCCGAGGACCCCCACGTAGGCGTCCCCACCCCAGGGTGGGAGGTGATGTGGTGGCTCAGCACCCATAGGTGTCCCCCATCCTCCCCCAGTAGCTCCCAGTTGGGTGCCACATCCCCGTTGGTGCGGGGCGGGGACACCCACGGGTGACGCAGGCCCTGGGGACACCCGAGAGGCCCCACTGGGCACCCACGGTGGGGTGGGGAGGGGGAGGACACCCCCTCCCCCTCCACAGGCTGGGAATGGGGGACAGGAAGGGAGCCCCCAAACTGGGAGAGAGGCTCCCAAACTGGGAACAGAGGAGGAAGGGGCTGAACAGGGACACCCCACCCACCCCCAAACTGGGAGTGGGGGAGGCGGAACCCCTTCCCAAACTGGGAATGGAAGAGAGGAAGCCCCTCCTCAAACTGGGAATTGGGGAGAGGACGTGTGTGCACCCCCCCAAACTGTGAATGGGGGAGGGAAATAAACCTGCAAACTGGGAAGGGGGAATTGTGAATCGCCCCCAAACTGGGAATGGGGGAGAGGAATAGCCCTCCCCCTAAAAATGGCAAAAGGGGACTGGCTGGGGGGAACCCCACAAACTGGGAATGGGGGGGGGAAGCACCCAAACTGGGAAAGGGGGAGGGGAGAAGCACCCAAACTGGGAACTGGGGAGTGGGGAACCACCCTGAACTGGGAACAGGGGAAGGGATTCAGACAGACTCCATCTTGTGTCGGGGTAGGCAGGCTCCCCCCAGTCCTAGTAGCGGGTCATTAAACAGGTCAAAATTTGGGTGCTTTGGGGTTGGATGGGAGACATTTAGTCCCAGTTTGGCCCAGTTTGCCTCCAGTCCACCACCCTACCCCCCCCCCCAAACCCCTGTACAACCCCCCAGCAACTTTCACCCAGCATTGGCTTTAAATCAATCTCTCCGGCGGCAAGGCTAAGTATTTTCAAGGTGTTTTTACTCACTTGCACATGGCTCTGCGGACCTCAAAGCCCCTTTGGAGACTCTCAGGCTTCTCCTCTGGGGGTGAAATCGGGCATTAAACTGACCGAGAAGCAAAAAGATGGGGCTGAATGAGATGGGTGGGGGGAGGAAAGTGCAGGAGGCTTGTGGGTAGCACACGGGGTGTCAGATAGGGTCGCTGGGGCAGGATGGATGGCTGAGGGAGCCAAATTGGGGCAGTCTGGGCTAGTCCTGGCATGGTTGAGGTCTAGCTCTGAGGGAGGGTGGTGATTTCGAGGCGACGCTGACGTGCGGAAAACAGACTCCACAATCAGTGAGATTGTAAAGTAGGGATGTTCATTCAGCGCTGGGCAGCACGGGGGGGGGGGGGGGGGGGCGCCCACCAACACGGG